GCCCTGCATGATTTGATGGGCCCCGTGTAGCAATCAACGTGCAGATAGCTTCTGGGCTAAGGCAAAGACATGTAATTAATATAGAGAATATTTTCCCTTCTCCCTAGGTAGCACTCGCAGCACATGTGGTATCCCCTTAGAGTATAAAAAGAGGACCATGCCTAGCGAGGAAGGGGGATCGGACTGAGGATCCCTGAGTCAAAGCTTGTCTAACCCTAGCTTGTATACCAGGGATTCAGGGACTTTCTAAGCACAGAAGAATCATACACATAGGAGTAGGGTATTACGCTTCATAGCGGCCCGAACCTGTATAAACCTCTTTTGTCTCATCGTCTTGGAGGAGCCTCCGAGATCAAGATCACACACAGTTTCGCTCACTAAATCCTCGAATCTCACCCGCTGCCCCCGGCCGAACTCTCAAAGGAGGGCCTCACAGCCTCCCGCTAGAGAGGGTCATCCCTCGACAGCCCTAGTTTGGTTGTACTAGGTTCGCTATCCTTGTAGTATTAGGAGGTACCACATTCTTTTTTAGGTTGATTTTTTTTATCGGAGTACTACCATGACAAACCAACTGGATTTGATGTAAGCATAACAAGAAAACAAAAAACGTTTTGACCCTACTTAGGCCCACACCTCAGCCTCCGTGCCATGCATACTCTGTCGAAAGCAACCAATACGAAGTGAGGCTTTCACTGCGTTTCACTAATTAATCGCATTGATTTGTCCCTAGTAGTGGGGGGAGGTTTTCATTTCAGGTGGAACGAAATGCATCAATCGATCGAGTGGATCGGGTCCAGTAGTCCAGCACTCCAGCTGAGCTGCATTCCCCAAATCCTCCTGCTGGACTGCCGGCAGGCAGCTGAGAGGCTGAGGTGGTGTCTAGAAATGAGGGACTAAACTTTAGTCACTCTCACAAAAATATAATTCCCTAGGGTAAGGACTTACTCTCTCCGTTTTGAAATGTTTGACACCGTTAACTTTTTAGCGTATGTTTGACCGTTCGTCTTATTCAAAAACTTTTGTGAAATATGTAAAATTATATGCCTACATAAAAATATATTTAACAATAAATTAAATGATAGGAAAAGAATTAATAATTACTTAATTTTTTTGAATAAGACGAATGGGTCAAATATGTGCTAAAAAGTCAACGGTGTCAAACATTTTAAAACGGAGAGAGTATGTTTTTGTGAGAGGGAGTAAAGTTTAGCCCCTCCCACCCAAAACCCCCTGAGACGAGCGAGAGGAAAGCCCGTGCAGCGGCAGCCATGATGACTGCCTCTTCTCTCCATTTTCCCTTTTCCAACGCCCACTGCATCTGCTTGACCAGCCACGGTGCCTGCCGAATGGGACGCCCCAGATAAGCCGGATTGTTCGTTTGGGCCACGACACGCACGCGGGGCCTGCTTCGGCCGTGCTGTTTACGGTCAAACTCATGACTGACCACCCACGGGCCACGGATCGATATTACCATCATCTATCTCTTCGTGACTTTGCCACTTCAGACCTTGTTTTGGGAGCTTCTTGAAGTAGTAGCAATTCTTCCCAAAATCTTCGGCTCTCTCCAAACAATCAGATTATCACTCTGATTATGAAAATCTGTATCAATATAATCTAGAAGATGAATAAGGTGCTGTTTGAATCTACTGAAGATGAAGATAAAGATTAAATATTTCACGTAAAACGAGGTGGTAATAATGTGTGATTAATTGAGTTTTAATTATTACAAACTTGAAAAATGGATTAATCTGATATTTTAGAGCAACTTTCATATATAAAATTTTCACATAAAACACACCGTTTAGTAGTTTGAAAAGCGTGCCATAAATATCTAAAATTTCATCCAAATGTTGTTAGAGAAATGAACGCAGCCTAACAAGACAGAAACTGAAAGACCTATATTTGTTCTAATTCATATTCTAGCAAATGCTTCTCAAAATTTTAAGGCTTGTTTGGAAAGCTTCTAGCAACTGCAATTTCTTTCATAATCAAAAGTTCTACTAAAAGTACATCTTTTTATCCAGTTTATAAGAAACTGTTATTGAAAATCTAAAAAATAAAATAGCAACTAGAAGTTGTATTTCTTAGATTCTTCGTATTCTCATAAGTTAGATAGTAACCTTAAAATGTAGAGTACCCTGTTCCACCATACGTCGTTAATATAATTAGAAACATAGTACAAACGTAAATGCTTATAATATGCGTACACTCATATTTGTGAACGCACAAACGTCCATTCAACTAGTCAACAATGAGGGGTATGTTAGAAGAAGAAGAAGAAGAAGAAGAAGAAGAAGAAGAAGAAGAAGAAGAAGAAGAAGAAGGAAAGAAAGAAAGGGTGGAGGAACTGGAGTGAAATGCTGTTGTTTGTGGGCCTAAATATGTATGGGCCAACTGGCCTGGATCGAAGAAGCAGGGAACGAACAAAGTGGAATCCGAACAAAGTTGACAAGGCCTGAAGCCCTGAATTCAGCGGTGCAACGCTTGCCCAGCGTGGACATGCACTCATCTAGTCATCAGGCTGGTGATCAAACTGACAATTATTCTCGACCTGCCTTATTAGGTTGCTGGTGGTACTGAACTGAACTACTGAAGTACTCTCACGCAGTCACATCCCCATGTTCATCGGTGTGCTTTTGCTGTTCTGCCCTTCTCCATGTGCAGTGCAAGATGTGATTATGTTAGGTCGCCAACTAGATGGAGGACCATCCAACATCGATCCATCTATGTTGCAGACATAGTTTTAATGTTTAATTAATACCAAACACAGCTTGATTGGAATGAGAAACACATGAAATTTCAAGAGTCAGGAGATCGAGTGAAAATACTACGCATAGGTAATTGATCTGGGACACCAAAGAAATACTAAAATCAGTCTAAAAGTTTCCTCTTTTTTTTCGAGGTAAAAGGCCTACTAAAAGTTTGTCTAGAATCTCTCTTTTTTCATAACGAAGTGGTTGGTAGAAGTCACATCAGCTAATGGGATTAGTTAGAACACTAACTTTAACTCGGTGTTTGTTGAAACCAACGTCAACACCTAATCATATACTCCTACTTGTGGCCCCTAAGAGCAGGTACAGTAGCATGCTATAAGCCAGTTATAAACATATTTTAAGAAGATAAATGATGAGAGAGAAGAGCAGCGGGCTACATATTTGTAGCCAGCTGTAGCACAGACTCCAAGACACAGTGTGTGTATGACAGGTGGGACTAGATATTAATAGTGTAGTATGTAACTATTGTATGAATGAGCTATTAGATTGACTATAGATGAATTGGAGCTAGTAGTTGGCTATACTATTAAACTTGCTCTAATGGAAGTCGATTGATCATCATTAACACACACGGAGAATAAGAATTTCTAGCATTGCCCACATTCATATATATGTTAATGATTCATTAACATCTATATAAATATAAGCAATGCTATAAAGTCTTAAAATCTGAAACGGAGGTATTACTTATTACTCCTACTTGTGGCCCCTAATGAAAGTCGATTGATCATCATTAACACACACGGTAGTTGCATGCTCCAACAACTGGGACACTGCATTATTATTACCACAAGTACAAGATCAGAGGATGCATGGAATATATATTGTTCATCTGACTGACGAGACTGAAGTTTTGATCTAACTATTCTGTTGCTATGTACTGATACTACTAGTATCCAGACATTCGATACCATATAGTAATGCCAATGTACTTAGATTCCTCCTAATCCTAGTGCCAATAATGTGGCTACAAATTAACTCTCTCAATCATGGAGTAGGAGCACACAATAACCAAAAATTTAATGTCAGCTTCAGCTGCCTTAGTCATGTTTAATGATATGGTGACACTGTCTTGACTTTGTTGCTAAGGCACTGACTTTTTTCGCTAATCAAAAGATTAGCCACGGACAAGATGCTTAGTTAGTTAGATTAGATATTGAGTTGGTGAGATTAGTTACCGGGATGATATTGAGAGGCTTCTGGATAACCTGATCCTACAGAATGGACGGCTTCGATTCATCCTGATCCGACGTTGTTGGCTTGTTGCCAACCGACGTGGCTACCATTTTCTGACGACTCGCCGGTGCTCGTGTGGGGCCACACTGTCATTGACCACCCACTATCGTGAGCAATTCTCAGCCGTTGGATTTTCCACATGGAGAATCCGATGGCGCCACGTAAGCACGGCAGGAGGGTAGGCGCGTCTCTTGTGGGCCCCTGTACCGCTCCTACTACTACGGGTGTAAAGCTGGAGGTAATTTGCAGGGACAGCCCTGCTTAATATTGGATTTGTTATTATGGGCTTATTAGAAACTGTTAAAGACCCTTTTTTAAGATTTATTTTGGGGTTATTTCTTATATTGCACTTAAAGGAACATCGGTCTGAGATAAAGTTTGGATCATCGCATGGTAAATCGTGTACTGCATGATTATTAAGTAGGGATCACCATCTGCTTATTTCTATTGAAACAATGGATATAGTAACGTTTTTTAAGAGGAATATAGTATTGGTTGTGTATGTATGTAGTATCTCATTAGCTGGTTTTAAAATTATTATATTTCTACTCATTCTATCTTACTTTGGTCTATATAAATGTAATTTATTATTACGTATACATGATACACAATATCGAGACAAATATGTATTGTAAGGACTAAAATTCATAAGACACATGTATAGTCCATTATACCAAATTACCAACCGCACATAAATTATCCTGTTTTGGCCTTGCTAAGACCCACTATTTTAGTAAATTTAGTCTATTTTTAGCTTTGCTAGCACCCTATTATATCAATAAATGTAAGATGTACAGTACATTACACAAAGCAAGCCTTACTTAACCTAGTACAGTACGCAAACACCCTAATCCATCCAACTCCAACCCAAGGTTTTGCGCTCACCAACCATAAGAAAATGGCAAAGAGAACCATGATTTAGCATCAACAAGAAGCGAAGGGGGTTAACTGCAAATTACACGCAACGAAAACCCTCCATCGACGGCGACCCAGCCGCCGTTTGTTTACTCGCTCCTCCGCCTCCCTTTTTCTTCTTTTTTTTTTCTTTTTCCTCCTCTATCCACCTCGATCGCCATCACCAACTCTCGATTTGCGAGGTGAGGACGAGCTCGCCCCGGGCTTGATTAGCTCAAGCCCTGAACCCCCCAGAGCAGCAGCAGCAGCAGCGGAGGAGGAGGAGGAGGGAGAAGAGTGCGGGCGCCTCGGGAAGCCGGCCGACAGTGGTACGTGCATCCATCGCTCTCTCCTTTCCCCTCCTCCGCTCTCTCTCTCGATCCATCTTTCCCTCTCTGTTTTCAATCTACAGATTCGGTTGATTCAGTCGGTTGTGGTGAGGGAAAATGTCCTCCTTTCGTGATCTTTATGTTGCGTTCTTTGTAGATCTTGTTGTTGATGAGAGGTTATGATTTAGTAGCATGTTTGTGGGTGAGATTAGAGGGGGGGGGGGGGTTGAATCTTGAGCTGACCTTGAGGTGTTTCTTGCTGCCCGGTTGCTTCTGCAGGTACAATTCTGCATCCGCATCGTATCTCCACATGAGCAAAAGGGGGCCTGGAAAGCACGCGCTTTTGAGAAATTAGGAGAAAAGGGATACATGCATAGCGAGATCTTGATCTTGGAATGGTGTCCAGTCGAAGGAACACCGGGGGAATCCAGCGGGATGGGTCGCTCCGGGACTGGTCTGAATTTGTTGACCCCTCACCGTCTCCTAAATTGTTGTATTCGCAATCGTATGTTGCAATGAGAGGACTGCTGTCTTCTTTGGTCTCAATGGATTTTGCCTTACTGTCAAGCAGGCTGAAATCTGCATGGGCGGCTATACTGTCCCAGAGGCATACTCGGTCTCCCGAGAGGTCGAAATCGAGGGGGCTGAGCTGCAAGAGACTTGCATTTCATCTGTTTGTGTGCTTCATGGTCGGCATCTTCATTGGGTTCATGCCGTTCTTCTCGGTCGATGTCTCTCAGAAGATAGTGTCTGAAAACGGGAGGCTTCCGTTTGATGAGGGTGCAGTTGATAGGGGAATGGTGGATGGTAAAGTTAAGGAGCTGGAGACAATTGTGGTGGAGAAAGAGGTTGACATAATTGATGAGAGCGAGGTTGAAGAGAGTCCTCCAGTCCCTGCAATGCTGGATGACGAGGCTGATTTTGTTGAATCAGCCCCTGCAATACCTGATATCAATGATTTGGACATCACTGTGAGAAAGCTTCTGATAATTGTTACGATCACTACTGTTCGGCCACAACAAGCGTATTACCTGAACCGTTTGGCTCATGTCTTGAAAACTGTACAGTCTCCTCTTCTGTGGTTAGTGGTAGAATGGCCTGATCAGTCCTTTCAAACAGCAGAAATCCTTAGGTCTTCTGGGGTTATGTACAGGCATCTCATCTGCAGGAAGAATACTACCAGTGTACGGAAAATTGCTGTATGTCAGAGGAATACTGCAATCTATCATATTAAAAAGCATCGTCTTGATGGTATAATGCATTTTGCTGATGAAGAGCGGTCATACATGAGTGATGTATTTGAAGAAATGCGGAAAATCAGGTGACAGTTCTCTTTGGAAACTTCATTTGCTGTAGTTACATATTTGACGTTGAATGACTATTAAGTTCTCTTAAAAAAATATTGTATAAATAAGGTTATGGCCGCTCTACCTTTTCAGAAATTATTATATTTTAGTTTCTTCCCTTTCTCTTTTGTGGGTGTCCAATTTTAGAAAATTGTTCCTCTAATCTTGCTATTCTATAGTATATTGGGTGAGTGAAATGTTCAATGTTCCTTGCTTATGATACAAGCCACTGCCCAGTGCTAGGTTGACTGCCACATTCTTTGCTTATGAAATCAGTGAACTAGTAGTGGACTGCTAAATGCTTCTGTCTCAAGCATTCTATGTCATGAATTGAATTATCCAGTTGAGAAATAGTTCTGATCGAGTATTATCCTTAATCGCAATTTATGAAAATGCATCCTCTTGAATTGTATGGGAGGTAGGATTTTGACAATAGCCAGCCAACATAGTGAGTTTCAAAGTCTTGCACCCATGGCTGGCATTTCCCAGAAATTATCACTAACTATTTCAGTACAATAACTGAAAATTATTGAATTCTTTTTGCTCCTAGAGTTGCATGACGTAACGTTCATACCAAAGCATGGTTTATATTCTCCACTATAGTAGGAGGAATGATTTAATAACTTGTTATCTTGACTAGCAACCTAACTCAAATAAAAAGAGTTTCTCCACCTTAGTAGTTGAACCTTTGTCATACCAATGAATACTAGTAGAGCAAAAAACTTCCCAGTGTGTACTGCAGCCCAGTAATGTAGTAATCTGACATGTGAAGCAGCAACTTCGGTAAAATAAATAGAAATGATTAAGGTTGACAATCCCACTGAGAATAAAACCTAACTCCTGCTTTCCTACTCCATTTGATTATAGTTACTTTGGACTAGTCTCAGAATGCTAGTCCTGGGAAACTGATTAATTTTTAACCAGCACCATTTTTTAATGGCAAACCTAACCCCCACATTCCTACTCCATTGTTGATTTGTCCAATATTCATGAAATGTAGTCTTTTACTGGCAAAAAAAAAATTAAAGAGTATTTCGATACTTTACTTTCAGTTTAGCCTAATGATCAGAGTATTAATCAGGCTAGTAAAACTTGAAGAGTTACGCAAAAGGGTCATGCTCTGTCTGAGCTGATCATAAGCAATCTTTCAATGATGAAACTTACTATGAGAAAAACTTCTGGTACCAGGTGAAACAACATTAATGGGCTGTTGCCTTAAACTGTCCTGCAGAAATTTCAGATCAAAGGAACCCCCGTAGTCATATTAAAGCAGAATGCAATAAGACTAGCATGCTTATTTTTGGCCATAATACCTCCACGCTCTCTCTCTCTCTCTCTCTCTCTCTCTCATGTCTCTCTACCTTTTTTGCAGGCGGTTTGGTGCATGGCCTGTAGCAATTCATACTGGGATCAAGTACAGGGTGGTTTTAGAAGGTCCTATATGTAAAGGTAATCGAGTCACTGGATGGAATACAATCCAGAACATCCAGAAGAAGAGTGCAGTTCGTCGATTTCCAGTTGGTTTCTCTGGGTTTGCTTTCAACAGCACAATGCTATGGGATCCTGAGAGGTGGAACCGCCCACCTATGGATTCTGTTATTGTCCACTCAGGTGGAAGAGGTGGTTTGCAGGTGAGTTAGCTGGTTTGTTCTCAAAATAAACTGCATAAATCAATCATAGTAGCATAGCTAATGGAACTATTTTTTGTGTGTAAAATCCTATTGCTAAGTAACATTCATGAAAGTTCATTACTTTGTCCCCGTTCGTTCTGTTTAGTTGGAGAGATATTTTCAGTGCACGCGAAACGAGAAAACTCATTAGCACATGATTAATTAAGTATTAACTATTATAAAATTGAAAAATGAATTTATTTGATTTTTTAACACAACTTCTATGTAGAAACTTTTTGCTAACATACCATTTAACAGTTTGAAAAGCGTGCTAACGGAAAACGAGGAAGTTGTAGCTTGGAGTTGAGAAAAAAAACTTGGCCTATGTAATGAATAAAATTGCATAAGATGCAGACATATGATCTCCTAAAGCAACTATAGACGCTACTCATGAAGAAGCAGGAACATATCATGACTATCATTCTGAATGAGCATGAGACCATACAGCAGATAACTAAAAAACGATAATTCACTGTATATGGCCTGAACTGACAAACGTTTCATTGCAGGAGTCAAGATTTATTGAGAAGCTTGTTAAACATGAGCGCCAGATAGAGGGTCTCCCAGAAGATTGCAACAGGGTTATGGTTTGGAATTTTAACTTGGAACCTCCTCTACTCAATGTCCCCCCTGGCTGGTCATTGCATAAGAACCTTGATGCCGTTATTCCTGTAACATAATATTTTGATGCCATGCCACCCACTGTGTATGCTCGTACCTCGTACAGGTCACTTCTCTTGCCAAGCCAGAAGTTCGATTTTTTTTTTCGTTTTTATCGGCATGGAGGTTCTGAGTTGTCAGATTGTAAAAATGAGTTGATCAACTTTCTGCTGTTGACAGGTGGCCATGAGGCTGCTCAGTGATGCCTTCCTGAACAAACCGCACACTGGATTACACGAAGTTGCCGTGGTTTGATCCTCCAGCAATTGTCATATCAGATTATCAGTAGCTGTGCCAAGCAAGATGCCTGACCAAATTTTTTTTCCTTTTTTTTTTCTTCTCCACTTTCTTTTTTTTTTTTGAGGTAAATGTGTACTTCCTTTTTGTATTCTGTTCATTTTTTCCCCCAGATATCCACCAGCTAGATGTTCCCCTATAGATTTTTTAGCTTCCTTTGTTTTACTGTGTGTTACCTTACAGATGTAAAATCATGCAGCCATTGTAACTGTTAAGAGCAAAGACAACACTATTGATACATGAAAAGATTTGAATCAAATAATTTAGGTTGTGACTGGGAGTTGCTGTACATTGTCGCCGAATTCCTTTTGGAGTTTCTTCGCCATGAGATCTCTGCAAGAAGTAAAACAAATAATAAAACAGTCGTTTGTTTTTCTGTTGCACAAGAAGTCTTCGCTGGGCCAAGATAAGCTGTACCTGGAATTTCTGCAAGTACCTAAATTGTGAACAACTTCACGTATATGCTTCAAATATTGCAACAATACTGCAATCTCGATCGGCCATTCTCGCAGAGCTGCTACTGTGCTGTTTCTGCACGAGCCTGTAATAAATTGAATTTGTCCTCTGCCAGTAATGGTCTGAATGATGGTTCCTAAGTCAAATATTAATTCGTTGGATGGCACTGAAACTGTATCTGAGCCGCTCTCGTTGTTTTGGAAAGAACTGTTTAACAAAGCATGATTTCCATTAATTTCGAGTAATATAAAAGGCACATACATAACAAACGCGATGGTCGATATGTCCGAGTGGTTAAGGAGACAGACTCGAAATCTGTTGGGCTTTGCCTGCGCAGGTTCGAATCCTGCTGTCGACGCCTTTTTTTTCGTTTTTCCCTGACACAGCCATTTAGCACCTTGTTTGGATGGAGACTCGATTACATGGTTTATTTGGTTCAAGTTTTCACAGTGTCAAATTTGTGACAACTTGCGTGTGTTATTGTCACATTCTGAGAGCAAACCAAACATACTCTCTTCTGCGGTTCTGCCTCGATATATAGCTATCTCTAGAATTTAAATTTACCTCAAAATATAACTATTTCTTCACATATCTTTTCATCACAACTAATAACAACCTTTCCCCATTTAATTTTTTCACCCAAAGGTCATCACTTATCTAGAAGGTATTATTTTGGAGTAGGCTCATATATCATATATGTGATTGTGTTTGTCAATGTCTGTCTTTTTTTTTTTTTTTTGCTGTGTGCATCATGATATAACGTATCCATATTTTGCAAGATTAGAGATGCGTTATATCTAGTATTCTGGTTCATGACGATTTTGAAACTTGACGACGAGATGAGGGACCTAAGTGATTTTTTTTCCAATTTCTTGTAGCATAAATCGTTGCCAAACACAACCTCTTCCTCCATACCTCCACACAAAGTTGGGCAATATTTCAGCCCACCAAAAAATGTAGTAAGAGCCCATCAGTAGCTTTTTCGGCGAGATGGCACAATTGGGCCTCCTATCTATAGGTCAACGTTGGCTATTTTAGCGAGACAGACCGAGTAAGAGCTCAGTTATGAAAGTGGGTTGAAGGGGGAGGGAACGGCGAGCAAAGGATAGGATACACTGACGCGCGCAATCAACCATGGCCCATGGATGATGATAGATCACAGCGATGCAAAGTTCATGGTTGCACGGAGGAGACAGAGAAAATACACATGGAATCATGCATTTCATGTGATTTCACTGAACTATAATTGGCTGCGTGCATCATGCTACTCTAGGCAGCAAGCTAAGCAAGTTTGGTTTGGGTTTGGGATTGAGCATGAGAGGGAGAGAGGAACACGTGAGCTGAGCTGCTGAGCTAAGGCCTAAGGGTGCATAAGCGGCTAACCCGTGAAGCTTATTTATAGACCAAAATAAATAATTGAACCCGCTTATTCTAATCTACAAGTGAGTTCGCAGGTTAGCCACTTACACTCCTATGCTAAGCCACTGTGGATAAGTGGATGGATGGAGTCATGGAGAGGCCTCGAGGGTTGTGATCAAGGTGGTGCATATGTGCTCTGCGTGGCCGGTGATCATGGCCCAAGTCAATCGTCACAAGCTCCACAAGCTCTTCTGGTAGGAGCAAAACTATTTTAGCATAAACCGTGAAGCACAATTTTAGGAAGGACATGGAGTAGTTTGTAAACATTGATAGCATTTGTCAAACCTCATTCATAGATACCGTGTCTTCACAATTTATGCGATATAAAAAGGAATAATATAAAGAACTCACAAATAAGGAATTTAAGTTTGGCTCATTTTTATGAAATTTAGCGGGAATAATAGGTGTATCAGGTATAAAAATGACACTTCTTTCATCCGTATATAGAAAATAGGTTGTAGGTTTGTCGTAAGTCTAACTATGCATCCACTACCATTTCGCCGTCCACTTGTCATTCTTTTCACATTGTTCCATGGCTACAACAAGCCAACAGCTATAATATTAACCCTTTTCAATATGATGACAAAAAACAAAAGTAGGTGGCCGCTTGCCAACTTAACCGCACTCGCCACTTCTCGGTTGTCACGCCTCTCTTTCGTACCGTCACTTATGGTAACGCTAGCTACTTTTTATTTCAGTAGCATCACAAAACGCCATGTAGACTCTACTTAAAAGACAATAATAATATCACGCTTATAAAGATGGCTACAATATAGAAGAGATAGACTTCCTCTCAATCCTGTATGCACCCAGTTGTCATCCCTATCAAAAACTACTCATCTTCCATGTTTAAACCAGAATGCATGGCATGCATTTTCCATGAACTGTTCTAGCACCACCCTTTTCCGTTACCCTTTTGCCTCGTACTGGCACCTATATAGCCACCTTGCTCAAGCATACCAAGCGTTCAGTACAGGCAACGAGAGGGCTGGAAGAAAACCTCTCCAAAAAAAAACAAAAAAAGAAAAGAAAAACCCAAGAGGGAATCGCGTCGCGCCGTGGCCGCGACGCATGACATGATTCCTCTCCTTATAATAACCATGTGCCCCGGCCTCCTCTACCTCGGTGCGCGCGGCGAGCTCTGGTCGCTGGCGCCGGCGCCGGCGATCATCACCAGCTTGTTCCCCATGCAGGCGGCGGTGCAGCAGCTGGACCTCCTCCTCGTCGCGCTCCTCTACGGCTGCCTCTTCTCCGGCGCGCTCCTCGCCGCCACGGCGCTCGTGCTGCTCGCGTTCGCGGCGGGCGCGCTGCTCGCCACGGTCGCGCTCGCCGCGTCCGACGCGCGCAGGCTCGTCGCGGGGCACGCCGCGTGCCGCGCCGCCGACGTCGCCGCGGCCAACCTGAGGCTGGCGCGCGCGCTCGCCGTCTACGCCGTGGTCAGGGCCGCCGTGCGCGCGGCGCTGGTGGTCCGCCCCAAGGTCGCCGCGCTCGCGTCGCGCGTCGCCTGGGCGCGCGACGACGGTGGCTGGGCTCGCGGTCGCGGCGCGATGAATCTGCTTCGGCGGGGAGCCGAGCGTTTCACTGTTGTAGCATGATGATGTAGTTTAAAGCAGGAGGTGGTGTATGATGTAGCATGCCTCCTTCGAATTCAATAAAATTGAAGGATCTGGGAATGATTTGAATATTTGAATGTTGCATGATTCCTTTATGATACTTCGCACACAAAGACATATGAATAGAACAGATTTGGTTTTGATTTTTTTTCATCATTATGATGCGGTTTATACTTCGCACACAAAGACATATGAATATATGATAGGTACACGGAAAATGGTCGAACCTGAGGAAAATGACAAAAACGAGCTCTCATATTATTGGGGTTGCATTCCGCTGTGATACACTTTTAATCGAATTACAAATTTGATACACTTCACTGGAAAGAATTGCAAACAATAGGCTTAAAAACCGTAAAGCTATCCAAACTAGTATACAACAGAGTAACCTACTAAATTAAACAAGGGTGCTCAACTGTCCAAAAAGACTTGTGCTTCAAGATGTACAAAAACGAATATTTTCACACTGGTATGGCTATGAACTTTCGGTATTTGTCACGGCTTGAATTTCGAAGAAACACGCCAAGCTTCAGATCTGCTGTATGGGGCTTAGTAGATTAGCGCGATGCGAAAAAAAAATGGATGGCAGCCGAAGCTACATACTGACATACAGCAGCACTATACACGAGCACCCAAAGATTGGAGCTGATAAAATGGAAGCCGGGGGTTAGGGACTTATGGCAACAACGATTTATCAAATGAAAAAATAAAGTTCAACTGATAAGCTTCAAACCTGGCTAACAAGAAGATCCACTTGTTCTCTGTACATCTCTTTTAGGTCAACAATGTCATTTCTTAGCTCTTCCAACTGCAAGCACAGTACAGAAATTCAGAGCAAATCCACACGAAATAACAGGTAAAGGTTTATAAGCATGTGCTTATTAATTGTCTTTATCTCTATTCAGATAATTTTTGTGCCTTAAAAGATGGTAGCTACGCAACCTACATGGCACAGGAATTGTGGGTTTGGCGATCATATAGGGACTTTATAAAAAATTCCAGTATACGAGCTCCATATAAATCCAATTCATGGAAAAAGGTTTCTTTTATATACCATAGAAAATAATCAAATATAAAGTCATGGTGCCTTCTAGGGAAGCCGTACCTCTTCATCACGTTCCCCCATTAGTTCTAGAGCTTGAAAGTGTCTTTGTTTCAAAGCTTCCAGCTCAGCCCTTAAACCAGGCAGAGCAGAAGCCTCGGTACGCAACTTCTCACACTGCATTGAAAAAATTTAGTTTAGTTTGCACACATGTTGGTAGTTGAATAAAAAAACTTCCGTTGGTTCATCAGGATTTACCTGTTCAGTCATTTTCACCAACTCCTCTGCCAGAGAATTCCGAATAGATTCTAATGAGGCCTGTAATATAGAGTAGCATTAGTTCAGTGATGGGCATGTGCATGTCGTGCTAACACCAGCAAGCTCAACTAATAGCAAATACGACGAAAATTAACAAGAACACATGCAAGGGTACTTAAATAAGAAATATCCAAAATGAGAATTAGTACTTTCAGGAAATCTCCAAAGGACATACCAAACGCGATGTGTAAGAAGCTAGCTCTCCATCTTTCTGACGGAGTGCTGATTCAAAAGCACTTGGAGTCATGCTCCGAAGATAATACGACATATTACTTTCAGCAGACATTCTCCTCTCTAATGAAGCGTTGTCTGACAAATCTAATGATGCTTGAAGGAAATGGCTTTCTTCCAGACTATTGATACTGCCAGAACTAGAGAGCTTTCTGAGAGGAGCATTTCCTTCATGAGATGCAAAGAGGAAACAAACGACAGGTAAGGCAA